GGCTCTCCAAGTGCCCGCGCAGCCCTCGCCGGGCCCGGCCCAGCTCCGCGGCCGCCCGTTTTCTTCCCACCTCACCCCCCCTTCCCTCTCTGGTCCTCTTTGTCCCCACCGCCTCGCAGCGCTTCTCGCTCCCCTCCTTTTCTCTACTCCCCGGCCAGCCCTGCGCCCCCAGCGTCCCACTTGCCTCCTTCCCGATCCCGCTTCCCCGGGCCAGCATCCCGCTCCGTCTGCTCCTGGCCCGCCCCTCCTCCCTCGCTGCCCGCTCGCCCCATTCCTCCAGACCCCGGGCCCCTCTCCTTCCTTGTCTTTCCCCCAACATCCCCTTCATGGACACACCTAGCCCAGCAGCGGGCCTGCATAAGTGTCTCCCGGTAGCGGGCCCCTGGACCCCGTGTACACCTGTGGTGATTCCCAGACGGGGTACTGGGGCCTGACCTTTCACAGGTAGGAAGACTTGGAGTCTCCCGGGTTAAGCCTCGCGTAGATTCTCTTCGTATTTTCTTTGCTCTTGTTTGTATTCGAAAGCCGTTTGAGTAACTGGATCTAGGGAGATCATTCACTGCTCTGCACGAGAAAATGTCCCTATTTTCCTAAAAGGTTCTAGGTGATTAACTTCCCCGCACTGCACTCACCTACCTCCTCTTTATTTCTTTTTTCTTTAAGCTACATCTTTTTCCCCCTTGACTTTATTGCTTTGAGTTAATTTGAAAGTTTGGCCTTCAGCCTTGGCGGAAGCAAACGTTAGAGAAGCTGCCAGAGCGGCTCCCCTTCCTCAAGCCGGTGATCTGTGAGTTAGTAGGGAGAAATTTTGAAATATTTTGTCTGACGCTAGCAAACAGTGTAGTCCCTGGATTGATCACACTTCGCTAGCCCGGGACCTAAACTTTTTTCAGACAAGCATTACACGGTTTTCTTTTCATTTCTTCCGTTTTTCAAAGTAGACACTCAGGCTCGTAACACCTGTGTGTGTGCCTTCACTCAATACGATCTTTCTGGAACCAAGCTGGAAAAATAAACTTCAACTAGGTGAAACGTGTGTGTGTGTGTGTGTGTGTGTGTGTGTGTGTGTTTGCTCTTCTGTTAGCACAAATGTGGATCAGGAGAGAGAGAGAGAGAGAGAGAGAGAGAGAGAGAGAGAGAGAGAGAGAGAG